TTATTCAGATATTGTGGAACCTAATATTGTTGGTAATGTGTATGTACCACTGGTATGAATCATTCAAGTTAAAAGTCAGGATGGAGACATGATCACTGAAACATTTACAAATTATCAAAACAGACCTATTTCTAAACAAAATTTTCAGACTATTGAGATCAATATCAAGGAAAACATTGGTCTACCTATCTCGTTTCAACAAAAAGAGTGATCGTAATGCTCCATCTTCGCAATCATTAGAGTACCTTACTATCAAGAACCAGCTGTCATGATGTCTATTATGATTACGAAGTGGATTATCATGCTGGTAGTCAATGGCAATGGGGGCACTGATTGGGAGACGTTTTGAGTAACTTGTTTCGTTCAGCTATACCATTTCTGGCGGAAAGGAGAGTAAGCTTTAGGAAAACAAACTTCAGTCAGATATTGATGCTGGAAAACGAGGAGTAAAACATGGAGCTCAGAATCTGGCTTGAGATGCTCTTCCTAATAAAAAGAAGAAACAAAAAGGTCCTGTGTTCAGAATAGCTAAAACCAAGAGACAAAGAACATCGACTCCAGATATTTTTGCCAAATAATCATGATTCTCCTACCAATGAAACGTTCTGTCAGTGTACAAAGTCTGAGCTAGACTTATTTTCTCTCCCTCCCATGCAAACCATGATTGAGAAAAGTCAGTGGACCAAATATTGTCCTTTATCTTAAGTAACCGACAGTGGACCCATTGAATTTTATATATTTGGATTAGGAAATGAATATTTCTAGTTCGAGCACAATCATACTTTCATGCAAAAGCAAAGATTTTCAAGCCTGATAGGACCAACATAAAGAAGGATGAAGATAATTCTGTGCCTGTCAACCCTGTTGTTTCATTCTCTATTTTCTCAAGTGGATGTACACCTGAATGACAAGCTCATTTCTTGGTTTCACAATATCTATGTTTATAAGGAATGCATAGAAACTTTACTGAGTTATAATGGAGAAGCCTAGATAAGTCACTTGACATCACCCATGTGAATAAAAGAGATAGCAGGAAGTTTTGACGATTTCGATCTTAATGATGGAGGGGATGATGGAATAAAAGACTGACACATAAATACACATGGTAGTCAAACAATCGATATGATTGGCCATCTTCATTCAGAGATCTTTTTACACAAGTTCTTACCTAACGGTGTATGTTTAAAACCGTGACTCATTCGAAGTACAGATTCATTTTGTGTTATGTCAAACGATGAATTTGGATTCAAAATCTTACTATTACATGTTTTTATCTAGAAAAGTCAAGATGAGTCTATCAGTCGTTCTCCTACATGCTAAAGCATTTCAGAAAGGAACAGCTAAATATTCTTTGGAATATATAGTGTGCAAATCATTTTCAATTCCCCATGGAAACTTACAAGCATCTATCGATAATGTGTTTTTTGGTAAAGGATCTGTTGATTATGATGCATTTAACTGATTTTGGAAGAAAAAATCTGTACAATTTCAAACATTTCAGTATCAATTTCGTTGATATAAATGTGGATGGAAAACAGATTCCCACTCAACCTTTACAACCCGAATCTGATGCTTAACTGTATGCACGAAGCTACGAAACATTATTTAGTAGAACAAGAAAACAGTTTCAAGATCAAGGAATTGATATAGGGTATGACGAATATTCGGGAGGATACACACTCTTTGCTTCGATCTTCCATCTGATCTATTTGCTGGAAATTCACACTTTATTTTGGGGAAAAGGGAAATTTAAGAATTGAATTACGTTTTGGTAGTGCCTTACTCAACGCTATTAATGTTCTTGCCTATGCAGAGTTCCAGTACCTTTTAGAAATTGATCAGTCTAGAAACATCATATCTGATACTTAAGAAGCTATGAACACTTTAGAAATTTATTCAATACTCTCACAAGATTTGTGTATGCAAAAAATGTTTGGAGGTGTGTATGCCAGTGAGAAACTTCCTGATCATGCAGAAAAACAACTGTCAATCTGGATCCGAGTCATAAACCTGGTAGCCACTGGGTCTGTATTTACTTTAGTCGAGATTAGAAAGCAGAATATTTTGACCCATTAGGACTGCCTCCACATAATCCCAACATAAGAAAATTCATCAAGAAGAACTGTCCAACGTGGACTTACAAAAAATATATATTACAAGCACCATATTCGTCTGTTTGTGGACAGTGTAGAATGTATTATGCTTATCATCATTGTCAGCATGTGTTGAAACGAAAATTCCTATTGAAACTTGGATGACCCAAAGATGTTAATGATATGTTTGTTCATGATTTTGAGGCAAAAAGTTTTCAAGTAAATATGTCCTTAATAGACGTGTTTTTTTATTTAGATCAGATTGCAAAATCTTTATTGTGAGAAAATTAATGAAGTGTTAAAAAAAGATATATTGTGTCCAGAATTTTTTAATATGTTAAATCAATAATAGTTTTACATCTAATTAAATTTAGATATTGTTGGCATGTTGAGACAATGAGCTCATCATCCTCCGTTTATAGAAACACTACTCTAACTAACTAGTTATATGTATAGCATAAAGACAAACTATTGAAACAGTAAGATCCTTTGTTAAATTATTTAGATTTTTAAATAAGCGTCCTTTTAAGCGTGCTTTTCATATATAACGTCAGGAAACGCAAAAAAAGTAGGATTAAATATAGAACTAATGAATTCGAGTTTTATACATAAACCGACTGTAAAACATAATTAAATATAGTCATTGATTACATGTTGAGACATGTATGATGATCTCATCATGATTGTTGTTCCACTTTGTGAAACTGTGATGTTATGTCCGCTTGTAATGGTGCCAGTGACCTCTGGTTCTACTTTATGGAACTATGATGTCACGCCTAGCAATGCTCCCCTTCTTTTGCCTGTTCTAGAAACACGCTCTCTGCTGACATTTCCTAGAACTATAAAGTTATAGTCTCAGGTGACATCATCATCTCTACCCCTTGCTTCCCCCTCCCTTTTGCCACTCCGGCAGCATCTTTTGTGTACATTGGTAACGGCCTAGCTACTTAAGAGTCTATTAAATATTTCGCTTTCTTTTTTCTTTTCACCAGCGTTTCCACTCATCATTAACTTTATTTTTTTTCATTTCCTTTTATGTCCTCCTATGGCTCAGCTGTAAGTTTGTAAGTTTATAATGCCCAAATTCAAGGCTCGAACCCTGCAGTAGGCATATCGCTGATAGCCCATTGTACAGCTATGCATTTAATGAAACTATCAAAAATGCTTTTGAAATCAATATTTCATTTTGCTGTACATAATGCTCAATCATTAACGACCAATAGGCGCACGTGTAACTCGATAATGTTTTTTGATTTATCATTTATAGAACTTCTTTCAACCTTTTGTACCATTTTCATAAACCCTTCTTTACTTTTTACTCGCAATTACTTTCATAGGATCTTAGTATTAAAATACTATTGAAGCCACTCTTCTTGTGAAATGTAAGTTTTTGTTTATATTAGAAACTGTGAACTTTCCTTCTTTATGTAAGTTCATCTTGTTAAAGATTTGTTTTACACAGACAACAGGTGCATCTCACTCTTGGATCAAAGGTCCTCGTAAATAAAAGTGTTTCACACCTGAAAATGGTAGTTATTTAGGATATTGGTGACATACTGTCATATCACAACAATGAGCCTATTTTAAGGACAAGTATGGGACGGCTTCAAGAAAACTGATGTTTGAAAAGTTATGTCAGGCAAGCCACCAGAATAGCACAGAACAGCAAGATGAGAAAAACGTGGGAATTTACACACTTCATTAATCAACTGTATGCCTGTGAATTTTGACATTTAAAAGTGTGACAATTCAAAATGTACAGGATAAATTTAGCAACGATAAACATGACAGCTAAAGCCTAACGTTTCTACCCTTAGATGTTGGAAAGTTGGCTCACTTCCGGTAATGTCTTTATATACATTTCTAGTTGTGCTTGGTTTTAAAGTCTCTAATTGCTGTAAGGTTGCATACGTATTATACGAACTTACTTTTCCTAGCAAGCTAACCGTATCTAATCAGAGTTACTAAGTTGCTTAACCTTCTGACACATAGTAATTAAACAAGTTGATAAACTTTAATTAATTCTAATATTCACCTTAAAACTGTAGTTTTGTCAGTTGACTCAGTATCTAAGGAAACTATCTGCCAAACTCGATCAGCAATTTTTAAATTATTCAGACATTGCTTACACCATTAGGTTTACTCGTCTAGGTATTTATGATTTTTTCAACATAATATGTTGTATTACAATACACTTCCGTGCATAAATAGATTTACAACAGATAAAGAATAATTAAATGAAGGTGAATTTACGAAAAAATTAGGATGATGCATAATATACAGATATGACTCCCTTATTAAGTTATTTAATAGATACTTAACCGTGATAGCCAGCAACATATGAAGCTAACTACAAAAGAACAAAAAAAGATAAAAAGCAATACTCTGCTGAAAATTTAAGATCTATATTAAATGTTCCTGCACGCAAACAACAGACATTGCCTGCTTTTGTAGCTGACAGTGTGAAATACAATTACCTATCTTATGCTTTTCTACATTGCCCATTTAAGGAGAAACATGCCTTCTAATCCTAGCAACGCGATGCAGCATGAAAAGAGCTTATATTTACACAAGTTGTAAAATCATAAGTGACCACCGGCAGTTCAGTTAGCTTTAAAAACAAATTTATAAATATATTAGTTTTCGTGTTTGATAGATAGTAATTTCTTTCTTTAACATAGATTCAAAATGCATTTTTGTTTGTTAATAAAAGATATAATTACATTTGAAACACAATTACTAAAGCGTTGAAAGCATTTTCTTATAACTACACTTCATACCAGCTGAAAGAATCGTTAAACGTTTCAAATTAAATTCCTGCAAACTAACGTTACCTTACACAATATTTCGAGATAATATAAATGCACTGAGATGTGTAGCTTGTTACATCAACTGACTTTGCCTTACCCCACATAATGGATAGTATAATGCAGGTTTCTCTTCATATATGTAAAATATCCCCTTGCAGCGCCCTCTGTTGGTACTGGTGGAGATAAAGCTTTCCCAGTAAGCAGAACTGTGAGTTCTGAAAGAAAATAAATCACTTATAAAAATATAAAATTATAATGTAAATAAAAAATAAGTATACTCATTATGTTGAAAACAGTAAACTACATTTATTATGTATTCTATAGTAATAGTGTATCAAAGTGGACACCGCATTTTCAGTGTCTATATCGATCGTTTAAAAAGATAAAATAAATTTTAAATAAATTTTATCTTTAGTTGTACTAAGAATTTCGATGACTTTGTTTATCGGTTTGTATATCGGAAAAATATTTATTTGTTTTTAATTTTTTCATTATTTGACAAGATAAACCAGGTATATATGATAACACTAAACATACTTTCTTACTTTTTTCAGCAAATGGTTTTAACTTAATATTTTTATCCCTGTTTTTTAGTTTTATGACAGCTCTGTCAACAACAGCTGGATTAAAACCTCTTTCCACTGCTATGTGCTTAATTAACAATAACTCATTATTGATATCATCCTGTTTACAACATAATTTTAATATCCTATCCACATAAGGGTAACAAACACAGGTTTTTGAGATGTAGCGTGACAAGATTGTTGATGTAGCAGAATGATTACAGAGAAAGGTTTACGATAAATGGTAGTTTCCAATTTATCCTTATTTTTACTCACTAAAACATTCAAAAAAGGTCAACAACCATTTATCTCAACTTCATAATTAAATCTTATAGAATTATCAGTGTTATTATGGTAATTAGCAAAATTAGCTGGTTCATCTTTACCATAACGCCAAATCAAAAATGTGTCATCTACATACCTTAACCAAACTTCAGGTTTTTAATCTGCTTTTTCTAGTGCTTCACTTTCAAAACTGTCCATAAATAAATCACACAATAACGGAGATAAAGGAGAACACATAGTTAAACCCTTGTTCTGTTTATAAACTTTACTATTAATTTGGAAAAATGAGTTTTCAACACATACTTCTACCAGGTTAATTATATCCATTATTTCTAAGACTGAATTATTATTTTCTTTCAGTTTTTTCTCAAAACATTCAATAGTTTTTTTCACAGGTAGTTTGGTGAACATTGACACAACATCAAATGACACCAAAATATATTTTTGATCTAAAATTATATGCTCAATTCTTTCCACAAATTAAAATTTTATCCCTTAAAAATGAGAATTTTTTAGATATAATTTTTCCTACATTATAAGTTGAACTCTTAATATTGGACACAATAGGTTTGAAATTATTACCAATCTTATGAACTTTAGGTAAGGCATATAATCTAGGTAAAATAAAGTTACTGGGAATGTAAAAAAAATATATATATATAGGACAAACTAGAAGAAATGTTAAAAATAATAATATTACTGCCAGTGGCACAGCGGTATGTCTG